GTGTGTGTGTGTGTGTGTTTGTGCACGTTGGGGCTGGGGAAGGATAAACTGGGGTCTTCAGGGTTTGTTTGATCGTTAGGGTTGACAAAATTTATCCAGAGAGAGAGAATGAATGTTAATGTTTTCGACCCAATGGTGTGTTGCAATTGCATTTATTCAATTGGGGTTTTGCTTTTACCCGAACTGGTTATTAACGTGTACATTTTTACCTCTAAGATTTTGCAAGAGGCACTGAATTGCACTCAATGTGAAAGGAAGTGCCTGCTTATCAATGCGTGCGACAAGATACCACGTCACTTCCTTTTCCTCTTCCAGCTTGGAAATAAATCGTTATGTTGGAAATCTGGGCCAAAACCTAATGGATTTTATGGGACGTAAGACATATTTTAGGAAGTCTAGATCTAGATCTAGATTCTAGAGGCACTGGAAGTGTAGTTTCTTGATCTAGAATGACAGTATTGCTTCTGTTATTGGGAGTAGCCTGGAATTTGAACCAAAATCAAAAGGCACTGAAAACATTATTATAGGTCTAGATCTAGATCTAGATTTAGATCTATATCTAGATCTAGATTCTATATCTAGATATAGAATCTAGATATAGATCTATAACTTGTTCTTTTAACTCGTGCACAAAGAATAATTCACTTACACTCTTTTGATTTGTGAAATCAAGCTTCCGACCGAACTGTAGTGAAGCTCATTGAAATAGTTATTAATTAGTCCAAGAAGAGAGTGTGATGCGAGTCTTATAACAACATTAGATCTACCCCTCACCTCTGGAGTAGAAGCAGCCAATAGACATCATGATACTGCAGGAATGGAATTTAGAAAAACATGATACCTGGACAACAGTAAGTTTGTTCCTTACTTAGCCCTAAGCCCTAGCCTAAGCCCTAAGCCCTGAGCTCAAAGTGTATTTATTAACGTTTGAAGATGACATTATTATGTTAATCTCGTAACGCTTTCCTTGCAGCCAGACATTATCAAGAAAGGAAGAGACACATGTCAACGTTCGGAAAGAACTTAGACCTAGATCTAGATCTAGATCTAGATCTAGATCTAGATCTAGATCTAGATATCTAGATCTAGATCTAGATCTAGATGTAGTAATTCTAAACGGGGAGATTTTTTTCTGTTGAAAAAAATCTAAATATATAATATGACTTTTCCAGTGTCATCTCGACATTCTTGTATACATGAGTAGTTGACCCTTAAAGCAGATACAGAGGCAAAGACAAGCACCCTAATGATAAGATGCTTTCGAAAATCCCGCAAAATCTCTTATAAATATAATTAACTAAGCCACCTCAGATGAAGTGAAAATCAAAGGCAAGCAAGCCAATCGTCCAGGCGCGGTTCATCCATAGAGCACGGTCCTGCAGTGTCGCCCATTTTTTAAATGTTCTATTACAAAAAGTACCCACAGACATGAAATTAAAGAAGCCAGAAACAAACACTAGCCAAATATAATATCAAAACAATGCAACTGTTTATACATTATTGTCTGAAGTGACTGTGTATGATTTGCTTCCGTTTGTATTTTTTTAAAAACAACAACAAATAAATAAATGGATTTTAAAACAATTTCTCTGCTTTAAAAACATGTTACGTCTGTCAGAAAAGGATACATGTAGAAGATGGCGAACGTCATACTACGGTTGTATCAGGCCAATCGCCCGAATTTGTCGCCTGAAACTGAAAACAAACACATTTGTTTTTTATACGGGGTGCCCATTACGGCTGGGATCGACTCGGTCGCCTCAAAAACAAACGTGTTTGTTTTGTTTTCAGTTTCAGGCGACCGAGTCGGGCGATCGGCCCTTTCGGCCGATCCCATCCGTAGTGGGTACCCCGTATAAGGAATGCTCCAGACTGACAGGAAGAACATAGCAAGGTGGGGCTCTCGCGCTCAGCGTCCACAGAAACAGAATTGGACGTTTGTTGGCACATCGCCACATGTCGGGGGCTCCTGCAGTGAGGAATGATCCGACCCTGAACTAAAAGTGGCATCATGCAGGCCTTGAATCACGTCACAGAGACAAGACCGACACAATCATCCATCGTGTTCATTTACAGCAGATCAGACTGCACCCTGCATCACTGACCGAGCGCAATATCCCTGGAATTAAGACGAAACTCAGCGAAGACTGAGGAATTGTCTCCGGGAGATACACTTGAGAGCGTTCAGACCAGCCGGTCTAGGCCTATACTTGAGCCACATCATAGCAGGGTTCGCCAAATCATCCACAATGTGGCAGGTACTGATGTTACTGATTTTGTGAACTTGGAGGAGATTGGTGTGCTCAAATTGAAATGGATAATTGTGTGCAAAAATGAGCACTGTAATCTTCAATGAATCTCTTTTCAAACTTCACGACTTCTGTGATGTGTGTGCCGTTTAGAAAAAGAATGTTTTCGCAAAGTAAAATTCTTTTGTTTGTACAATATTTGATTTCTATACACACTTTCTTTTATTCTTGCAGAAATCCACTACCCAGTGGACAACTCAGAAATGGGTGTCTGGAAAGTGAACAAGGCTGATTACACAGAGATAAAATCTACCTGGGAGAAAGATCAGGAACAAACAAGGTAAGACAAAAGCAGATTCTTAATTCAATAAAAACGTAGCGGACACACATAATAATATGTTCGACCAGCTACAGACCAAAAGCAGCATTTTTTCGAGCCATCATACACAAATCAATAACTCTAACATGAGTATTTACATATTTCATAACTAGCTGGGCCCCCTTTCGATGAAAGGAATGATCGGTGCATGAACAATAACATCAGCCAAAAGTCATTTACCTACGATATTTACATTCTACTGGAATCGAGCAATTTAATCTTGAGAGATGCAAAAATTAGGTTTTGATCTATATTCTCAAAACAGTGCGCACGGTTAGTGAATGGAAATCTCACTTGTCTACAAAGGCGTCTTAGAAAACGGACTTTCCAAAGATTAGATCTCAACGAAACTAATGAAAAAACTGAAAATTAATCCTTCAATGACTTCAGGCTCCTCAGTAAAATTGTGCACCCTTTAAATGATTCTGAACCAACATTAATTTTGTCAAATTCGAAAGTTCAGCTGTTCGGAAGTTTTAGGCTGCGAAAGTGACGAACTTTCACTAATATAATATGTATAGATAAGCATGTCTGACCAGCAGTAGACTAAAGGCAATGTTACGACACATTTCGAACCTTTGCACACAAACAAGCAAGACACATTTGCATATTTTATAGTATACATGTTGTTGCCTACCTTTTTCAGTTTTAGATAATGAAAACAAAATTGAAAGATTGGCATGTAAAACGAGGTTAAGCATCTTGTTTGTGTACCCCAAAACAGCGCCGCCTCAGTGAGTTAAAAGAAAACTTACCTGTAAAACCTGAAAGAAAAACGAAGTTTTCGTATGCTTGTTTATTAAAGTTCATCAAAAACAGCGAGTCTTTATGTGGTGTCAAATGACCAGAATAGGCGTCCTCAATTGGTTAAAAATAATTATAATAGTATAGTTTCCAACGTAATGGTACAACACCAAATATATGCTGCACACAAATAGTGTGAATATGTTATATTAAATCGTAACAATTCAAGAGCTTCAACATCATTCATTTGTACTCGAGCATGTGAATTTACTGTAACTTTAAGCTGCCTCAAGGCCCTTTATTAACAATATACAATAATATCGTGTCAAAAGAAGTTTTAGAAATCGAAGGTGTAATTCAGATAGATGCAGGCAAACTATTTAATTTTAAACTTAGTCAAGAGTAAGAAACGAGTTTTTTGGGGGGAGGGGGGGGGGGAATTTGGCGAAGATGTACATTTTTTATCAGTCATACTATTCAGTAATGTCATTGCTATTGTTTGTTTTTGAGCATGAATCATTCAGTGTAGGATTATGCCAGTACATATAATATGCTAGCCTAGCCGTCTGGCAGCTGGCCTCAAGCAGGCATAGACATGAATAGCGTATAGACTCTTAATAAGGGGTGACAACTGTTCGTTCTTATAATATTATACACCACAATCTCTCTGGCGCACATAGCGATGGCATCTTTTCCTTGTATGTCTCCTGTCCAGCTTGTTATCTTGCCTCCCGTTCAATCGGGACGATTTAAACTGTATTTCCACATTGAATCATTAAATCCTCCGATTAAGGACAACAAAACAAACCTGTTGAAAGCTTTGACTTTTTGCTTTTCATTACCAAATCTTCCTTCGTGTGCCCAGTGTTAGTGGATATGCAAGCTTTTCAACAAAAACTGCTATCTCCCCTCCCCCCGTTCTTTCCCCCTTCGCTACCCCACCTCACCCCTGTTCTACCCTCCCGCAGCTCTCTGTCTCTCTGTGTCTCGCTCTCTCTGTCTGCCTGTCTGTCTGTCTCTCTCTCTGTCTGTCTGTCTGTCTGTCTGTCTCTCTCTCTGTGTGTCTGTCTGTCTGTCTGTCTGTATGTCTGTCTGTCTGTATGTCTGTCTGTCTGTCTGTCTGTCTGTCTGTATGTCTCTGTCGCTCTCTCTCTCTCTCTCTCTCTCTCTCTCTCTCTCTCTCTCTCTCTCTCTCTCTCTCTCGCTCTCGCTCTCGCTCTCGCTCTCTCGCTCTCTCGCTCGCTCGCTCGCTCACTCGCTCGCTCTCTTTATCTCACACGCGCACATATACACACACAAACACACAAACACACACACAAACTTACAAACACACACTCAAACACACAAACACACACTCAAACACACAAACACACACTCACATACACACACATTCACCTTCACGCACATGAACATCTATGGACATAGCCCTCTTGAAACTCTTGTTCTATAAAAATATTACATTTAATCCAAAAAGAGAAGCTCCCACGTCTGGTAAAAATTAAATGAAAAGATCACGCATGGTTCCGTATTTCAATATATAGGATAATATCTTTATAAATTGCAGATATTCTTTTTAATACGTCATTTTACAGGTTTTTCCTGTCATTTTTTCCCCTTTTTCTTTAGAAATAAAATAAATGTAGAACTATTTGAATCCTAAGTTATGACGTGGAGAAAAATGCACACTTGCTAAACAATGAAGAGTTCTTTAAATAAATTCAGGACTTTTTTTTGCATATTCAGAAACACTCTGATTTTTTAAAAAGTTTTAATGGGACCTGTTCTATACAGCTAATGTATCACCAAAATCTGTCAAGGTTTCTTGAAATCAGAGAATTAAAATGTGTAAACCCCCCCTTTCACTCTTGTAATATGTTGACAGATTTCACATAACATTTACATCCACCACACAAAGGTATCCAAGTTAAACAACATACTCACGTGATCCTCAATCGATTATTAACATGACACCGAAACCTGATACTACTCACAGATCATGATACAGGCGCAACTGAGGAGAGGCTGGGCGATATCTGTTTGCCATTGTTTAATTCATATTTCTTTAATTATGACATTCGTCCCTCAAATGGTTTTTGCGCACTCTAGCACTCACATACACACACACTCTCTCTCTCTCTCTCTCTCTCTCTCTCTCTCTCTCTCTCGCTCTCTCTCTTTCTCTCT